GCAGATACTTGGCTTGTATTTTTTTATTCATTCAGCCAGCCTATGTCTCTTGAGTGGGAAGTTCAAGCCATTCACATTTATTGAAAGAATTGATAGATGGGGTGGATTTCTGTTCATCCTGTTGAGTAGAATTTTATTGCTGTTTTACCTGTTTAGCCATTGTGGTATCTGGGCTCTGACTTTTAACTTTTGGGTGATTTTACACTGGTGGGTGTCTTATTGTTCTGATCCGTATATAATGTAGTTCTCATGACTTCCTGCAGGCCAAGTCTGGTCTTGACAAATTTCCTCAGTGTTTACTTGTCTGAGGAAGTCTTTATTTCTCCCTCATAAGAAACTTAGTTTTGCAGGATGCAAAATTCTAGGCTGGCCATTACTGTGTTTGAGGAGACTAAGAATGGGGCCCCAGTCCAGTCCCTTCTGGCTTGTAAGGTCTCAGTTGAGAAGTCTGCAGTTAGTCAGATGGGTTTTCCTTTGTAAATTACCTGATGCTTTGCCTTAAAGCTTGTAGGGGTGCGTCTTTCATGTTTACTTTGGCCAGTGTGATGACTGTGTGTCATGGTGATTGCTGCTTCATGATGAATCTCCCAGGAGTCCTTTGGGCTTCTTATACCTGGATATCTAGATTTTTAGCAAGGCCAGGGCAATTTTCCTCAATTATTCCCTCAAATAGGTTTTCCAACTCTTGTGTATTTCCTCTTTGGCCTCAGAGGTACCTATGATTGTTATGTTAGGCCTCTTTACATAATCTCATATGTCTTGTTGGTTTTGTTCCTTCCTCTTATTTCTCGTTTCTTTCTCTTTGACTGACTTGTTTACTTCAAGTTGTTTTCAAGCTCTGAGATTCTTCTGCCTGATCTAGTCTATTCTTAAGGCTTTCCACTGTGTTTTGTATTTCTTTGAATGAATTTTTAATTTCCAGAAGTCCTTTTTTTTTTAATAATTTGATTTCTTTAGTAAATTTTTCATTCATTTCCTGTATTGTTTTTGTGGCTTCCTTGTGTTGGGTTTCTATTTTCTCTTATATTTCACGGAGTTTCCTTATAATCCATATTTGAAATTCTTTATCTGTCATTTCAATCTTTTCATTTTAATTGGTATCCATTGGTAAGGAGTTATTTTTTTCTTTTGGGGCTGTCTTTTCTACTCTGATTTTTCATGTTTCCAGAGTTCTTTTGCTGATTCTTTCTTATCTGGCCTCTTGGTTGAGACCTGGGGGTATGAGGGCTGGCTTATGGGCCTGTCACAGAGTCCCCAAAGATCAGTCCCTAAGCATGCCGGGGAAAGGTGTGCTGGTCCTGACTTGCCTATGGGGAGTTCTTGCAGGTTAGGTATACCTCTCAGGTTACCTCTGACCTGCTGTCTTTACCTCTTTCAACACTGTGTAGTGAGTTAGGACCCCCAGCTTAATCTCAGTGATGATGGGTAGTACTTACGAGAATGACTCAGCTGCTCCCTTTTTTCTTGAGTTGGTAGGAACTATGTTTAGCTATAGGGTTGTTCTCCCTGTCAGTGACTGATGGTTGTGTGGAAGAGTGAGCTGCTGAGATTGTCTTTTGTGCCCATGATTAGCTCTGGTCCCCTAGGTGGGGCGTATGAATGCTCCAAGCTTTAGAAGGGACCTTGTAGCTCCCAGGGGATTGCTTGATCTCTACTCCATCTGAGGTGGAGGAAGGAGCAAGACAAATCATAGCTGAATTCCAGGAGCCAGAGAGGCTTTGCAAAGACTTGGTGGATCTCAGAGGTTGCTTATCTGGCCACTGGAGGAGCTGCTGGTATGAAGTTCAGGGCAATCTCTCCAAGATGGGTAGGCTGTTCCTAATGGAGGTGCCTAATCTTTTGAGAGCTGGGGCTTCCATCCAGGCTCTTCTCACTCTTGTGCACTAGCACAGTTTCTCGGTGGGGTGGGGTGGGGTGGGGTGGGCACCTCCCTATTTTCTCCCTGTATCTTAACAGCACTCTCCCATCAGATCAATTCGCATGAATTCCCTCATTGCCCGTGATCAGCTCTTGGACTATTCCTCATTCTGTGTATCTGACACTCTAGTGTGCATCTTGTGGGAGGCTGGCAGGTGGGGGATCCCCAGTTGTGCACACTTGTTCCACCACAAGACCCCAAGTAGAGAGAGGTAGGCTTATTTGTCTGCAGGGTCCTCTGCCAGGGGCACTCTCCTGCCTCAGAGTAGTGACTGCTCACAAGTTTCTTGGCTCAGGTGTGTGTTAATGAATCCCACAATTGGGGTTCTCTGTTGCTTGCTGCACAGAAAGCCAATTACTGAGACACCGAGTATTACCAAGGGAGAAAGGATTTATTTCAGTGGACACACCTATCGGGAGGTGGGAGTTATGGACTACCTCAAATCTGCCTCCTCGATCAACAGGGTCAGGGGTTTTTTTGGAGGTGAAATGAATAATGTATGAGGGGAGCAAGCATCATTACATGTTTGGGGTGGAGGGCAGGGCACAAAGCGCAATGAGAAATCACGTTAGTGCATACATCCTGTAATCAAAAAATATTGAATAAGTCTCTCCCAGGGTGGGGATTAGGAGTTAATATGGGTTATTCTTTCAGTTTATGTGCAGGCTCAGTGGGTCTTTGCGCACAGTCTGTGGTGGAGTATCACTTGTCTTCTTCGGATAAATAGATGGGGTAAGGCTTTGTAGTTATCTCCTGACTGCAAGGTTGCTCTGCTGTTTCTGGGAAAGAAACTCAAAAGGGAATAAATGCATCAATGTAACAGAAAGTTACAAAGTGCTGGTCAGCAAATCTTACTGGCCTGGGACCTTGAAACATAAGTGAACTACAAGAAAAAAAGAAATAAAAACTATAAAAAATGTTTTCTTGCTTATGGAGGCAGTTACAGCTGCACTTTCTATTGTAATGAGTAGGGGAAGGGGCCTGTTCAGGTGGCATGCCCAAGGCTTTTGGTTGTCATGGGAACCACGGACTATGCTAATTTACTCCTAGTGCCTGCACCTCTATCCACTATTGTGGTTCTCTAGCCGGGGTGGTGGATGGGCACTCTCACAGATCCCCCTTCCTCAGTGCTCGTCCACACTCTCCTGCTGGATATGTCTGTGAGGGTTTCCTTACCTCCCATGTCCCAGACCAAGATCTCTCTCCTGCATCTCCCTGCACCACTCTCATGTCTGGGGGGTGGGGGGTACCAGTTCTGGTCTGCCTGTCTAAGCCACCAGTGTACCATCTTGAGACACACCTGTGGACAGGAAACTTGCAAATTGTGGCAGCCCTGATATCAGTGGTGGGCTCAGCTGGGAATACTCATCTGTTGTGGAGATGCAGCTGTTCCTGTGCTACTTGGTTCAGAGTGTTCTTGAGGCGGGGGGCCACAGCTACCATCTACCATTGCTCTCTGTAATGCCAAGATCGGAGGGGGTGCAGAGGAGGAAGTGTCTAGGTGTAAGATAACCAGCACTCCCATCTCTCATAGCACTCTCCTGAAAAGTGTCCCTTTTGAACACCCGAACTCCTGTGGATTGCTGGTTTACCCCATTATTCCCATTTAGCCTCTGTGCCTGGGTTCGTGGAAGGTAGAAGGCCTCCAAAATGTTTTATGTCCTGATGCTCACTGAAGGCACCTATGTGGGGCGGGGGAAGCCCCTCTTACCCTTTCACTGGGCTCCAGCCTCTCTGGGTTTGGCCTGCACCGCTGTCTTCTCTATCTTCTTTCTCAGCTTTGCAGTTTTTCTTAATTGAGTCTCTAGACATCTCTGTTGTCTCTCCCTATGATCCACACCTGAGCTATAACTGCTCTCCGCTTTCCTTAGTCCAACATTCTGTCTTCTCGCTGGGACAATCTGAAAAGCAATGTTGTTAGTTGGCCATCTTGGCACCTCTCCTCTTCCAAAAGTTTTTTCAAGCATGAATTAGTCCCTTTATTACCCAAAGTAAGTTTCAAAGATTATGAATATGTTGCATATAACGTTAACATTTCTGTCCTTTCTGTCAGCCCTGATTTAGGTAAATGAAATGTTTTTTTCTCCTAAGTTTTTAAGGCTCTGACCTTTCTGTCAGCCCTGATTTAGGTAAATGAAATGTTTTTTTCTCCTAAGTTTTAAAGGCTCTATACTATGAGGAAAATTTAATGTTATCTAAAAGTAGATAATGATCCTGATATCTATGTGTGTGTGTGTGTTTATGTGAATACATAAAGACCAATTGGCTGTGACATGTGTGTATGCATATACAAATACAGTATATACATGCTGAGTGGGAAGATATTTTAATTATTTAAAATATAGTCTTTTGTTGATAAAATAATTGAGCTGGAGGTAAGGAGAACAAAATGATGTAGAATTGAGATTTTTGTTTTAAATATTTTTAAATTCTGAAAATCTGAAGTTTTTTAAATTATCTTTTCCTTTTTTACATATAAAATAGAAGATATAAAGCCTTTTGATTTACCCTATTTTAAAAATTGATTAAGTTCTTAGACTAGATATAAAGTAGATAAGAGAAAATGATAATACATACAGGTAGCAGAACTCTGTAAAGTCTGGTGACAGCTATTGTAGCAATCCTGGTGCATGCAAATTGAATACAGCTAGCAAGGTGACTCCCCAAAGTAGGACATACATATACTGCTTCTCTATCCCATAGATCTGCATCTTCCAAAGTGCATTCAATCAATCTTCCTTCTTTTGCCTCAACCTAATTTTTGTGCAGATGATGTTTAACTTAATCTATTTTGCATCAACACTGAACCCATCACTACAATGTTCAATCTTTCGGTGTCTTTTTCTACTGTGTAAATTGAGACAGTCATAATATATCAAGATTTAAGGAAATCCAAAATAAATATCCTTTGAGATGTAGATAAAAATACAGCAATTTGAAATTGTCCTAAGTTATAAATAAATCCTTTTTTTGGCAATTGCTATGTCCCATTACTTTTTCTTAATGACTTTTAAATTTTCTTATGCTACTGTATTTCTTAAAGTTACTTTAAGGTAATTATTTTCATGATTTTGTTTTCTAGGTTAACAGAACCTTCTGGATATTTAACAGATGGTCCAATTAACTATAAGTATAAAACTAAATGTACATGGCTAATTGAAGGCTAGTAAGTATACACTTTGAGTTGAATTAATTTATTTTGTTCTAAAATGGTAAAGGTGATTGTACTAATGTTAAAGCATTAAAGTATAATGACTTTATAGTTGTATAGTTTATTTAGTTGTTTATTATTGGAAAACATTATTTACATTTTTACATGGAATTTACAACTGTTAGACATTACATTTAATATAAATTACAGTACCCTTTTGCTTGTGATAATAGTTATTTTTGATATATTTTGTTTTTGACTTATGTTATCGTGGTATTGAGTAGGCATTTTTTGCTTGTTTTACACATCTTGTAATGGAATTTGAAGATTCCATAGAAAGTATAAAAATATTTCATGCTGTGTTGTGCTATTAATTCATACTATTCAGCATTTTAATTCTAAGGATATTTTTAAAAGAACATTTTGTAGAAGAGGGAATTATTAATTTAGACGTACTTTTTAGTAAATAGGGCTTGAAACTGTATTTAAACATATTGTGCGTGGATCATAAATTAATTGATATGAATTTTTTTTAACCATTTTATGATTTTTAAGGACTGTATTTGGAATTTTTGTTGTTGTTTTAAAACTTAAAAACTATTAATTCTCTTCTATGTATCTATAGTCTCAGTCTATTTTTTAATATTAATAATATGCCATATTAAGACCTTTTGATTAAAATTTAAAGAACTTAGTGCCTTCACTAAGAGTTCTGTAGAAATGAGAATAGTTGCTTCTTGGGTGTCGAATTTTAAAAATCAACTTTATTCAAGTATAATTTGTATACAACAAAATGTACCTATTTTGAGAGTAATGTTCGATGAAAGTTTCAGTGATATATACAATATATGTAAATTCTACCTTAAGACATGACATTTTCTGTTGACTAAATTTTAGAAAATAATGATACATACATATGACCTGTTAATAGATTTTGAAAGTTTTATCTCAATTTTACAAATTAGATATAATGGTTGATCAATCTTTTACTCTGGTGATTTAAGGAGTTATAGCAAAATTGAAACACTTTGCCTAAAATTTCTTCATACTGTGCTTTGTATATTATATATTAATTTAAAAAATATTTTAATATTTTTTCCAGTCCAAATGCAGTGTTAAGATTAAGATTCAATCATTTTGCTACAGAATGTAGCTGGGATCATATGTATGTTTATGATGGAGATTCAATATATGCACCTTTAATAGCGGTACTTAGGTGAGTAATTATGTTTAATCAGTTTTAGAAAGGTAAGTATGTATAGTTTATTAATTTAAAATGTATTGATATGTACTCCAAAATAAATATGGTGTAGATATTGATGGTTAAATTTCAAAAATGATTATAATTGTATGTTTTGTGCTGTGACTGCCAATTTAAGTGTTTATATCATTATGTAAATATTGATTTAGCAGAAGTAAGTACTATACCCTATCGGAAATATATATTTCTTTATAAACATTCTTTATTCTCACTGTATTTAGTTTATTCCTTTAAAGTGGCTTGAATATGTTTTCAGAATGATCCAAATAGATTAGGGTGAGTTCTAGATGACCACAAATACACAAATGTATATTTTTAAATAGTTGTCTTTTTATTTTAGTGAAATGATGAAATTTTAAATTCTGCATAAGAGTTAATAAGTTGTGCTTTGTATAATGGTTAATAAAGATGGAATTTCTACCAATTCTCAAAATGTGGGAATTTTGTTTGCTTCAACATATTTCATTGTTAGTAGTTAAGTAGTCAGACTATTATTAATTTCTGAAATTACAGCATTTTAAATATCAGCTTAAAAATATTTTCTATGTATCTGTGTAACAGATTATTATAAAAATTTTGTGAATAGGAGAGAATTTGTTAGACATAGAAAAAATTATGTACATGTAGTATACATTTTGTATACAATTTAACTAACATGATTGTTGACCAGTTACTCATTACATTATTCTTTACTTTTGCTATTTGCATGATATTTCTTATATGTTGTATCATGGTTGAAAATTTAAGTGTAGATAAAAGCTTATTGTTCCCCTCAAACTTTTTTATTGCAATTTTTCTTTTTATTATTCATGTTGCAAATATTCCATTTTATCTGGGATGTGAACTATTGTTTTTTTTTTGACAAATGTGTAAGGAGTTGTATTTTTGAATGACTATTTCAAAGTGAACCCTTAGGATATTGCTATTGCTTAAAATACTTTTAGCACTTCATTTTTGAGTTGTTTAAACATTACAGAAAGTATAGCCACGACTAGCTCTTTATCTCAGGACAATAGATAGAAAATGGAGTGGAGCTTTGTGAATGAATACTTATGTTGTAAGAAAATTACAACATTGTTACAATTAGATAAGATCCTGGGTTCAAACATTTATTTTTAAACATGACTTTGCTATCTTTATTTTTATGACATTATTGACTGACCATCATTTAGATGTATGCCTTGTCATTTGTTTTTACAGTAGTTCCAATGACTTTGTATTATAATAAATGCTGATCCATTAACATTCTTACCAATCCTCTCCTGTTACTAAAGGAAGATAATTAGCAGGATGGGATTTAGTACATGGCTGTGAAGATGGAACTAGTGAATTTTCATTAGCAAATGTTCCTGTTAGCAATCCTGAGGAAGACAGAAAACTCATGTTTATTGAATATCTGCTTGATGTTAGGCACTGTGCTAGACAACTTAAACGTTATCTAATCCTCACAAATATCTTGTGGAGGAAATACTATTATCCCCATATTATAGTTGAGAAAATTGGGACTCAGAGAAACTATTTACTTTTAATGGATGGTAGAGCCAGGATTAGGACTTGAACCTCAGTCTCCTAATTTAAAAGCCTATGTACTTCACCTTGCTAAGAATTCAGAATCTAAATATATTTGAATTATTTCAGTTGTATAAGTATTTATTACTCTATAAACATTTGATAACTTACTCAATTCCAGAGGTTATCATAAACCTGGAGTAAGGAATGAGTAAGGAATGAGGCATAGGCCATTGCAGTGCCTTCTGTATCATCTCTTTAGCTAAATGATCTCGTGGCCCACCATGAGTCACCTCATTGGCATAAACTCTCATGAATAACAAAGATATTCCTATCACTGGGAAAATTCCAAGGATTTATTGGTTACATTCTAAGAACTAGGGACAAAAGCCAGACAAATTTAGTACAAAGTAGTCATGCACTAGGGATACATGGACATAGGTTTTTTGCACAGCATAATAAGTGTTATGATTAGGTTTTGAAAGAGTGCTATGAAATTTTTACAGAAATAACTTAATCCTTGATGGTAAGTTTCATCATGAGTACAAGAATGGTAGGCAGAGTATGGGGGCCAGATAGGGCATTCTAGGTAGAGAAAAACATATGTATAAAAGTATAGAAACATAAAAGAACATTATATTTTACAACAATAGTAAGAAGTTTTGAGTAACTTGATCACAGGAAATGTGAAGGGATACATAGGAACCAGATTACCCAATAAATAGCAATCAGTAACATCTACTGCATGCTCATTTTGTGCCAGGCAATATGCAAGAGTTCTTTATATGCAGTAATTCATTTAATCCTCACAATAATCCTTTAGGTACTATTATTGCCATTCTATAAATGGAGAATTGAGGCACAGAGAGATTGTGAGTGGCCCAAAGTCACCTAGCTGTTAAGTCAGAATATGAGTCCAGGTTATATAATTCTAGACCCTAATCCCTTAGGCACTGTAATATTGTGTCCTTGTACACCACAATAAAGAAATTGGACTTTTATTCTGTAGGCAAGACTTTTTAGAATGTAGGTAATAGGTTGGAATGGAGAAGTACTATATTTTTACTGTGTCTCAACAATTGTGTGCTGGACTTCGCCTTTGGAGTATCATATGAAGTAGTACTTTGAGGCCTAAAAAGATTTTATATTCCTGCAGAGAGTATCAGTCTATCATTGGCTCAATCTAAATTCAGGTATTGAGGTGGTTCATACCTAAGCTTCAGTGTAATCCGTTAGAGGGGCCTGACTTTCAGTAGTTCACTTTTATTTCTAGTTATTGGAGCCCCAGTTCAAAGTGAGGACCCTGGTTTCACTTTTTGTTTCCCTAGCTCTGTAAAACCCTTGAAAGTACTATTCAGTTTCTTAGCACTTCAAATCTTACTTCCAACTTTGAAGTCAGCAATGCCCAGATAGGAAATGGCATCAATGTCTGGGCATATCATCTTGTTAGCTCTCCAGGACCTTCAAGATGATTTTCTAAGATATATAATTTGTCATTTTATTAGTTGATGTCATTGGTACAAATTTCCTGGTGTTTGATATAATAAGTGGAAACCTTCTTTCATTTATTGCTTTGAAAATACTTAAAACAAGCAAGCAAATAAATCTGTTCTTTTTATTGGTTTCAGAGAGATCTGAGGCTAGCTGTATCTATTATGAGAATTGGGACTAGTGGTGCCTAAACATAAGTTTAACTCTGTCTAAAGGAATTGACTATTTTGAGTTGCATAATTTCTTTGTTAGCAGCTTTTCTTTTTCCTATTGCATGTTTTCACAGATTTATAGAGGGTAGAATAATATAGCTAAATGAAGATAAGTAACTGTCCCTGTGAACAAGTAGGCTTAAAAAGTACAAGTTAGTAAAAATTATCAACTTAGAATTCTTGCTTTTGAACATTTATATCACTCCTTTCCCCAAGGTAGTTTTCTCTTGTATGCATATGGTCTTAAGTGAGCAATATTCTATTTTGGAATGGTTATATATTGATGCAATTTGCATAACTATACAAAATTTTAAAGAAACAAAAAGTTTATATTTTTAAATTACCCAAAACACCTACATCAATATATTGAAAATGTACAACTTTAATTAGAGTGTCATTGTAATCACTCAGGGAAGTCTTCATTTTGGCTTTGTCAGAGTTTGCAACCAATGGGACAAAGTAAAAGGTATAAAATCACTTGTTAAGAGTAGCAAGGTGGCTTTAAGTGAGGTTTTATATACGAGTTAAGTAAAAGAGCATCCTGCAGTGTTATGTCAGGATAGATAGCAAGACCAAAGGGAGAGATGGGACATTGCAGTCCAAATAGTGATATGGAAAATAAAGGAGTGCAGTGTCATGAGAATAGATGTTAGTATATTGGCAGCAGTAATAGAACTAATTGGGTGAGAAATAGATAGGGGCTTATTTTAGATTTATTCTCCTTCTAGTTGCCCATTCTAATGTATATGAATTAATGATCCTGTTAAGAATATTTTTGAGTAGATTTTATATGGTTAATAGTCATATGTAAGTTGATACACACAGTGTTTAATTTTGTTCTCTTTTAGTGGTTTGATAGTCCCTGAAATAAGGGGAAATGAAACCGTGCCTGAAGTTGTTACAACATCTGGCTATGCACTGTTACATTTTTTTAGCGATGCAGCATATAACCTAACTGGTTTCAATATTTTCTATTCGTAAGTATTTTTTAAAGATCGTCTTTAATGATTCTTATAGTTTGACTTAAAAGAGTTTATTCTTTATTTTTATAAATGTCTTATATACCAGGAGCAGGCTAGTGTGTTAAATTTCAAATTGGTATATATGATCCCTTCTTAAGTGACATAAAATCTTTATGTGCTACAAAATGCTATCAAGCCTAGGATAATCTCTGAGAACATTATGGTAGCAAATTAAGTTTGGTTGAAAATTAATTACAAAATTTAAAATTAATTGTTGGCAAATGATTAATTAAACACATACAAACTAGTATAACTTTACTGATAGCAACAGATATGGGAGATTGTAGGGAGTCCTTAACTGCCTTTCTGTGCTCTAAGGTAATTTCACTTGTAATTTGAAGAGGGATATAAGAGCTCAGTTTGCATAGTACTTCTCTATTGCAGATTCTGTACTGGATGTTATATATACATTATGTCATTTAATTCCCTTCACAACAATTCTGTCAAGTGCATTTTTTTCTCATTTACACTGGAGGAAATTGAAGCTTAAGGGATAATTTAAATGGCTATACCACTATCTTTTCTGGAATAAGAAAAACTATTCATTGGGAATTTATGACATGTTTGACACTTTATATAGATTTTTATGTAGAAGTCCAACGGTGAACAGGAATGGCCAGAGAGGAACTGTATATGTTAATTTTTTTCTTTTCTTCATGAATGTAGAAATTGATAACCAGGGGGTTTTTCATCAAGAATAAGATATTCCAAATATCCTTGAATCAGCAATTTATTATAGGATTTATTTATAAAAGTAGATACATAAGCGTATACACAAAGGAGACTAAATATATAGTAAAATGTAGTCACTTAAAGAGTCTTAAAGCTAAATGTGATAAACATTCCTTTTCTAATGTAAGAATATATAGAGATAGCATACTCTTTAAATATTATACAACCAAGTTATATCTTGACTTCTAATATAGTTTGGTATTCATGAATTTAATTTATTTCTGTAAAATATATATTCAAAACATTTGAGTACTTAGGACTGTACAAAGCATTTTGCTTGGAACTGTATAGATCTTGCAGATATTGAGTGTATAGTCTTCGGATGTTTGGAGTCTTGGTAGCAAAGTAAATTCTCTGAATAAACTAAGACCAATTGCAAATAAATACTAACATAATTGCTTTAGAGTAAAAGGGTACAGAATAGAGAACTGAAATCACATTGTGAAATTGTGTTAAATTTATAAGCATATAAGATACAACATAAAAATTATAAAGTTTAAAAAATATCAACCAAAATTCGTTTTCAATTATCTTAAATTTGAATACATATTATATTTTACAGAATCAATTCTTGTCCTAACAATTGCTCTGGTCATGGGAAATGTACAACTAGTATCTCTGTTCCAAGTCAAGTATATTGTGAATGTGATAAATATTGGAAGGGGGAAGCTTGTGATATTCCTTACTGTAAAGCCAATTGCGGCAGTCCAGATCATGGTTACTGTGACCTAACAGGAGAAAAATTGTGTGTCTGCAATGATAGTTGGCAAGGTAAGCACATATGGTCTGATGGCTTTTGAAACATTGATTCATATATCTAATAGATTAATATACATTACGTACTCATTTGTTTTGTTATAGTTTACACACCCAAATCTCATGTATGAGCTTTAATTTCTAGAATGTTCTGAATAACAATCAACTTCTTAATAATCTGTTTTCTCACAAATAGAATTGGTAAAGATTTTGCCTATATGCTATTTCAAGGATTAAATTATATGTGAAACTCTTTGAATTGTAGGTATATGATCATTATGATTCTGTAATTCTTTGTTGAATCCCCCCAAATTTGATGAATTCACTGGATTCAACATGTGGAGCAGTCAAATTTGATTTATAAAGGTAACAAAAATGGTATATTACAAAAAGAAATGCACAAGGTACTCCAGTATATTAACGTATTTCTTAGGAAAGACTGACATCTTGTGGCTGTTTGAAAAAGAACATAGATTATTTTAAAAGACTTTTATTTAAAAGATAGGGTATTTTAACTGTCCATTGCAAAAATAAGATTCCTAGGAAAGAATTTCTAAAACAATTTCTAAACTTATCATCAAAGATTAACTTTAGATGTCAATGAAGAGTTTTTCCTTACTGTTGTATCTGGATATAAAATCATAAATTTCGTCATTGTGGAATTAAATTAAGAGATAGATCTAATTATCCATATACTTATCAACCCACAGCTTACTTTTTGCTGATTGTATTTACATATTGAGAGCTTCCTTTGTGACGATATATTAATCCTGTTGATAGAGGGAACTTTGAATAATTGGGTAACTAAAGGTACATGATCATGTGTTATTGTAGTATAGTGTAGCAAATAGTAGCAATATTTCCTATCAGACCTAAGTAAAGACCAAAAAGAATGTGCTCTGAGGTGTATTTGTTATTCTTGAGATGAAATTTTTTAAAAAAGTTATTGAGTATGCTAAGTACTTACTTGGAAAAATTATTTTGTATGAATGATGCCTGTTATCTCATTAAAATACTAGATATGCTGACTGTACAAAATATCAGTGATTTCTCATTAAACTGAAATTTGATTACCTAGTATGATTGTAACAGATACAAATTTCTAAATGTTATTTAATGCTGGGGATATTTTAAGTGGCTATTTTAATCATTTGTAGCTTTTCTTCCCCTCCAAAGTACCTTGAGATATAATTTAAAAAATTTCTATCTTGAAACTAAAATAACTTCTTTTTTTATGGAGGGAATGGTACATTAATATTATATTTAAGTTCAGGCCTAAGAAATAGAAGTACAGTTCATAGACACAGTGTTTTTCAAACTAGCCTTCAACTGCTATTAGTCTGCATCTCATTTCAATAGTCTTCAAAGCAAACGAGGAATACATTTGTATAACATTTTCTATCAACATCTCGCTTCCTTTTTTATTTAATTTATTAGTCCTTCTTTGAAATGCCTTATTTTATGGGGATCTTGTAATATAGGTCTGGTTCAAAGTATTATGTTTTGTTTTTCCGGCCTTTCTTTATTGGCCTTTTCATGTTCTGTTCTTTTCATTAGTAATGCCCCATATCATAACAATTCCTGAATCTAATATGTCTATAAGCAAATGGAAATAGGGAAGCAACTACTGGAAATATTTCACTGAAAAAGTAAAATATGTTCACTTTTAAAGCCGAATGGTAATATGAATAGTCTAAGAAATATATATGTTATAAATATACACACATACTTGTATATATACATATATTTTAAATTGAGAATAATGTGACAATACTTTATAAATTATAAAGCATATAGAAATCAGACAAATTTTTATACTATTAACAATTCTTAATAATTAGGGAATTGATCTCTGAATTGATCTGAGTATTTTGAGGGTAGAGGGTTTGGGAAATGAGAGTGTGTGCTATTTTCAAGACAAATGATGTGCAGGTTATTTATTTTGTGCCTCAAACTTGATCCTGATTGTGTATTTAAGGAAGCATAGGCAAATGTATGTGGGATTGTGATGAAAACTATTAGGGAGAAAATGATGTTTTTATTTCAGATATATGGAATGGGGAGAAATCAGTGAGACATAAAGAAGAGACAGATTTGCTTCTAAATGAATGGAACTCAAAGACCTAGAGATGTTTAAAAAAGAGGGCTGCAGAAACAATCTTTATAAGATTAAAAATCTGTCATTTTTAATGTGTGTTATTTGCAACTGGATTCTTTCATTTAGAATAACACATTGTTGTTACACCCATTATAATTTATCCTTTGATGTTGGTTGACTTTACTTATTCTGTTTGGCTCTATGGTAGTATATATTTTTAATAAATGAGCATCACCCTCTAGACACTAGGATTTTATTAAGTAAACACAGAGGAAAAGCCTATTTTTACAGTAAGTCTTAGGTTGCCTTCCTAACATTTCTCTCAGACTTGTCCCACCTGGTCTTTGTTTTCTTTAGTTTTTTAATAAAGTACCTATAAGACTTCTGCTCAGCCATCACTTTGTTCTTCAGTGCTACCCACCCCCCAACTTTCTTATCTTTTCCTTTCCTTTCTCTTCTGTCTTCACTTCTCTTCTCTTTTCCTCCCCTTTCTCTCCCTTCCTTCCTTCCTTCTTTCCTTTTTTCTTTTCTTACCTTGCTATGTTGCCCAGGCTGGACCCGAACTCCTGGGCACAAGCGATCCTCCCGCTTCAGCCTCCTCAGTAGCTGGGGCTACAGACACACACCATAATTCTTTCTTAACCATCTGCTTTTACCTTTTTACTGTTTGAGACATTTTTCCAAATTTCGTAGGAGTATCTGTTAAGGATAGTGGCACCATTAAAGCCAACTGTTCCCCATTTCCTATAGAAAGCACTTACAAAAACCCAAAGCTGAAATAGTAAAGTATATAGAAAATGCTAAATTTGAGAAGCACACAAATTTATTGTATAATGTTTAATTTGTCATAATGTATAGTTGTCAAAGATAATTAGGTATTAAATAGATTACTAAAAGTATAGGGACCTGTATGGACTCATCTGCAGAAGCAGATTTTGAAAAAATAGACTTCATTTTTTTTTTACAGCAATGTTAGGTTCACAGCAAAATTGAGCAGAAGGCATAGAGATTTCCCATATATCCCCTGTCCCAATCCAATACATGCACAGCCTCCCTCGTTATCAACATCCCCTACCAGAATGGAACATTTGTTACTATTGATGAGCCTACGTTGACACATTATTATCAACCAAAGTCATAGTTTACTTAGGGTTTACTCTTGGTGCTGGACATTCTATGGGTTTGTACAAATGTATCATGACATGTATCCACTATTATCATATCATATAGAATAGTTTCTGTAAACTAAAAATCCCCTGTGCTCTGCCTATTTATCCTTCCCACCTCCAACCCCTGGCTACCATAGATCTTTTTACTGTCTCCATAGTTTTGTCTTTTCTCAAATGTCATACAGTTGGAATCATAAGGTATGTAGCTTTTTCTGACAGGCTTCTTTCACTTCATAATATGCATTTAGGTTTCTTCCTTATCTTTTCATGGCTTGATAGCTAATTTATCTTTTGTTGGAGACTAAGACCCTCCACATTCCAACAACTTGTCCTGACTTGTCCTACGCACAGGCCTCACCCCGGAAAATAGCCTAAGACGAAAATAGCTCCCAGCCCCCCAGCTATAGTTCCGAGAAGAATGCATTCCATGCCATGCTTGCTCCAGGGCATGCTACCTGCAATTGTTCCCAACCCCCTGCCAGGTTGGGGTTGAGTGATCCATCACAAACAGCTTCCGGTGCCATTGGGATGCTGATTGGGGCTGATTAGCCCACAGGAAAGCCTCATCATTCCCTCACTCTATTTTTCTGTTTCTACTTCCTTGTTTCTGTATATAAAACCTACTAAAAATCCAAGTAAAGTAGACCTTGACAACCCTTTGCTTGGTCTCGTTTCTTTCTCTCGCCCATCTCTTTCAGGCACGGTCCCCCTCGCCCCGGCGAGTAACAGAAGGTCCTGCTAACAGAAGGTCCTGCGGGCCGAGACAATCTTTGGCACTGAATAATATTCCATTGTATGGATGTACCAGAGTATATCCATTCACCTACTGAAGGATGTCTTGGTTGCTTCTGTGACATTTTTCACTTAATAAAATTTGTTTAAATTTTAATAAGCCACATGGAGGAAAAAGGCAACTTTGAGAAGCATTGATCTCTTAAGATACTTCCAAACATTGGGATAGATGAAGAATTTTTAAAAGCCATTAAAATTGAGACATGACAAATTGAATTTATGTTCATATGTAAAGACTGTAAATATAATAGTAATTTTCAACATTGACTCCAAGGTGTGTGGTATTCTCCTCACCAACTCCCTTAATCAGAGTGGTTCCAGGTTTCTCTCTTAGATATAACTTTAAACAATCTGAATGATGAGGGGTCTTTGGTTGTAAGCAATAGAAACAGTTTGGCTTACTTGAGCAGAAAAAGTAGTTATTGGAAAATATAGCAAAGATCACTGTCTCCCAGCATTCATTCTTTCCTTCATTTCAGTAATAGAATTCATCGAGTTTCATTTTCAGTTCAGTATAAGTACTTCCAGCTGCATACCACATTTCTTACCTTCCCTTGCAGCTAGTATGGCTATTACTAAGTTTTGGTCAGTAGGATGTGAGTGGAAATGCCGTGTGCAAATATTAGATACACATGAACATAAATTCATTGATTTTAATGTCTTTTAAAATGGAATGTGAGTATAGATATTTTATTGAATTAATATATCAGAAATATTAGTTGGCTAGTATAGTGATATGTAGACATTCAATTATATTAATAGATGGTTTAGAAGAGTAATACTCCAATAAATTGTGTCATTTAATTGATATATAAAACATAATTCTAAATATTGAGAGAGAACCAATTTGAGCATTTTAAATATTATTTTATTCAAATTTTGGTTCTTGGAACCTTGATCTTATATTTTGTTTTAATCCTTTAGTTTTAGATTTTAACATTTGCCATTGGGTGGCA